TACCTGTCCATCAGGTAAAGACAGTGTTACCTGTCCATCAGCACCAGGTCGTCTCTCAGCAGAGCGCAGCAACTTTTAGGCCAGAACACTCTGACGAGGCTGCCGGAATCTAGAGTTGGATCCATGTGGAGCGCGTGAGCGAGCTGGTTGACCGTCTGTGGGCGAGGACAGAGATGTCAGACATGACCAGATTCAGTAAACCTCAGGTCACTTCATTTAATGAGTAAAGAAAAACGTACAGTGACGCTCCGCCTCTCATTGGACGCCTCGGTGGTGAGGTAAGCCTCGTCTCCGTCGGTTCCTTCCACCCTCAGGAAGCAGTTGGTGGTGTGACCAATGCCGCTGGGCAACACTCGGTCTCTCAACATGGCGTTGATCACGGTACTTTTCCCGTTACTAGTTCTGAACATCATACATATGAAACACGTGACCATTACCTGAAAATCTGAGTTGTATTTTTTTGGTTCTATTTTTAGATTTTAAAATGAATTGTTCCTCGTCATCATATAAAGATTTGAAACACTGGATGTTTCTGTGTTGTGTTCACTGACTGTGTGGAGGGTGAGCTCTTTCAGTTACCTGCCAAAGAACGCCACCTTCATGTGCCTCCGCAGCAAAACGTCCCTGATGGTCGACAGTTTGGTGGCACAGCTCTGCATGTCCACGCTCTGCTCCTCCACCGCCACCTGGCCCAGGTCGTCGCTCCGCCATGCCTCTGACATCACGCAACAAACACAGGTCACATTGTCACGTTTGTATTGTTTACACCAGCGACCCCCAGTGGTCAGAGGCTGTTTCTTTCTTGTCAACACGATATCTCAACAACACCTCGAAGGAATTTCCTCAAAACTGGTTGAAAGATGAATTGATTAGATTTCAGAGGTCAAAGGTCATAGTGACCTCATCGTGAACGTAACATGTCAGGAACATGTGAAGAGAGTGAGACTGTGACTGGTTGATGGAAAAAAACCACTGCACACTTTTCATTGTTCATCATCTGTGTGTGTGTGTGTGTGTGTGTGTGTGTGTGTGTGTG